AACAACTTTCCATTTTGGTTAGTTATTTAGTTAGAGAAAACTACAAATTGTATATATTTATTTACAGAAAAAGAAAAAGAACGATGAATTGTAATATTAATATACATAAGAAGGGTCAGAAAAATGAGCGAAAATGTTATTATTAATCATTTGGGTCACTATAACCGGATATGATTTCCTGAGAATCAGTCATAGTAAACGATATGTCGTTTTAAACGGAGTCCATTATATCCAAATTTTCCTATAGAGAATTTAATATGAAAACCAAACTTAACACTGCAATTACTTCATTTTAAGCGGTTGGTCAATATAGGCGGAGTCATAATAAAAAACGAATTCCCCTGTATTTAGTTGTTTATACCTATGAAAGATAATGAGCTTAAACCGTATAGTTTTCGCTACTTCACCATTGGCGGATTCGATTCCACGCAATTAATGTTTCATTTTTGGGGATAAGTGATACTCTCTGAGTGTCAAGTTTGGGTTGTAAAAATATGGTTCAATTTTGTGAGCAGCAGCCAACGCAACATGACTTTTGTGAGCAGGCGTATTCTGTTTTACTGCCTTTAATCGTTCCAGTAGGTTAGTGTAGTAATTTCTGGTTATTGAAGCACTTTTCACTATGTAATCAATCATCAATGTTGTAGCTGAGTAGGACGCTCTGAACTTTTTCGAGGGTGATGTTTTCTTTTCATGCCATTGCACTAATTGCTTCTTGGATACAGACTCATAATGATCAACCCAAGTTGGATCACCGGTGACCTTAAAGTTTCGTTTTTTATATTATTGCAGAGATTCAAAAACTCACACGCGCATACAGAAGCGCATCTGATTTGGTGGACATACCAAGATGATTATTGTGACGATTTGTTCAGTGGTCAGTGGGTTCTCCAGGGCAGGGTTTTCTGTCTTGCTTGAATATAATTGTATTATGCATAGTAAAAATTTTTCTTGCTTGATGAGGAGTATTGCAATAGCACCGCATTTGTTATTCCACACTCTACTTTCCTCGGTGGTTTTGCGTGACATCTTGAAGTTTAGTGATCCAATTTTAATAAAACGTTAGATGTGCTACATTGCATTTCGTTTACTATGATTCAGACATGCGCATTTTCAAAAATCAGTTCTACGCATGTCTTTATCGTGCACGATTGATTTTGCGCACACGTCCTTTAATATGCATAAGCCAGTAAGGAGTTGCTTAAACGTAAGACATGTACCTACAGACCCCTCTTGTCGCTATCCCCACTATTTCGCTAATTTAGCGTATCATCTTCATACTTTATGAAAAATCAAAATGACTATTGCTTAATGTCTCAGATTATTAATACAACGTTGTTGTCTTCACAAATAATCTTATAACTGATCTTTTACTGCTTAAGCAACGAATATAAAACATACAGCGTAAGTAAAATATAAATAGGTTGACTAGGGGTTAGACTGTTTTGTATCAGGTATTTAGTATGATAGTACTACAAAGGTGAAGACATAAATTTGATGTAATAAAAGGTATTTTACATTTGATGTAATGTGAGTCTCTAACTGAAGATGACGTCTTTATATTTTTATATCTATTTCTGAATTTTTGCTTCGTTTAGTTCAATTCCACAATAGTCGATTTGATTTTCTTGTATTTTAAATGTAAATTCTAATGTTTCGGTAGGTATCATAAAACTGTAAATGGTGGTGGTATATTAAGTAGAAACTAGTTTTGATTTTAACTAGTTTTTGCTTTCGCAGTTATTTGTAAAATATGGCTACAATATCCACATAGTGTGTGTTCATAAATAAGCTTATCAAGTGATATAAAAAATTTATGAAATATGTCAAATCATTGTTGATAACCAGATAATGTATTTACAAAAAAAGTATTATAAGTTGTAATGAGTTACACATACGTACACTTGCCAATGATATGAGAAGAATTTGAACAATTGGAAAAGGCTAACATGCCACGGCGGTTATACCATCTACCTTTCAATTTATCATCAATTACACTTTAAAAAGTGCATCGAGAGTAATTTATTAGTTCTCATCAGCACACCTTTTCTGAATGTAAACGATATGTTTAAAGATAAAATGGCAGTTATGAGAACATCCACAGTGTACGAAACAGTAAAAAAATCAGAAATCATAGGGTGCAGACGTACTTTCCATGTATTTAATACCATAAGAACCATCGATTATATGCGATCGTGATTAGTACAATTGTATCAATTTTAAACGTTCCCACTCAAGACTCGAAGACTCTTAGTACAAAACGCCATCTTTAGAAATTTGCAGGTAACTGTAGATTCATTAATGTTAGGTAAAGATGATCACCCAAAACTGAACGGATGGCGGAACTAAAAGGACCTTGACAAACATTAATCAAACCACTTTTATTGAACCGACTATGACGTACTAATCTGATTCACAATTGACCGTTTTTGGAAGAATGCTGACCAAGAAGTAATTGTTGAGTACCAACATTTGTTTTTCCAAATGCTCGCACAGATTTTTTATTCGGGATGTGCATATGTATTACATGAATTTTAATGTTATTAAATTACGAAATTGAGTTTACACCATCTGTAGTGGTGTATAAGCAGTTACATTTATTATCGACACTTCCTAAGCAATTTCTTTTTAGACTTGGATGCAATTGCGCATGCGTATCGTTTACCATGTTTTTAAACTTGTAGGTCTCATAGCTGTAAATAAAACTTTTGACGAAGTAAAAAAATGGATATCGGAGCGAATGAACAAAGATCAAAAGATCGGCCAGGCAGTTGGAAAACTTCGAAACTTCATTATCGAGCCGTTCGTTCCACACAAGCAGAACGAAGAAGCATATGTCTGCATATATTCTCATAGGCATGCTGACACAATTTTATTTTACCACGAAGGTGGTGTCGACATTGGAGATGTTGATTCTAAGGTAAAATCACGTAAATATGAATGCAATTAATGAATATTTCCAAAGTGAAAGGTTTTTTTCCTTTTTTTGTAAATATATTCACGCCATTCAACAAATTTTAAACAATATCATTCCGGCTACCCTAATGTTGTGTTCATATGTTTTGTTTTAAATTATGTCGTTACATTGTTGTAGTGACCGCTTTATTTCTGGTATTACTTTTACAGTTGCTTCTAAATTATAGGCTGTCAAACTGGATATCCCTGTTGGCGAATCAACAGATGCAGCAACTATAGAAAAGGCACTGTTAGGGCAAGTGGCGCCGAAAAAACGAGCCACCATTGCTAAATTCATTAATGCACTTTACAAACTTTACGTCGATTTATATTTCACTTACCTCGAAATTAATCCCTTGGTAGTCACGGATAGCGAAATCTACGTATTAGATTTGGCTGCAAAGTTGGATTCTACAGCAGATTTCTTGTGCAAACCCCTCTGGGGCGAAATCGATTACCCACCACCATTCGGACGGGATGCTTATCCAGGTTAGAAGCAGTTGATTCCATTAATGAAACCTGCCGATTACTTACACTTTATATTTACAGAGGAAGCTTACATATCCGATTTGGACTCAAAATCTGGAGCTAGTTTAAAACTTACCATCTTGAATAAAAAGGGTCGCATTTGGACTATGGTAGCAGGAGGCGGAGCTTCTGTCATCTACAGCGACACGATATGTGATTATGGTGGTGCTAGCGAGTTGGCTAATTATGGTGAATATTCAGGTAAGTCATTCATTCAACGATTTTATCTCACATTTATAGAGGGTTAATGAACCAATGACAAGGTGTTTTTAATCTGTATTAACTCAATAGTGCATTATTTTTGGTCAAGTCTTGCCAAACTATCAATCGAAAACAAAACAAAAGATTAGATCTGGTTTTATTTAAATTAAATCTATGGCTAAGCTGGGAATGGATTCCTGTTTGTTTGATCTGCCCATCGTTTTTAGATCTGGGTTATAGTGAAATTATGATAATCGCGTTAATAAAGAAACGTGGAATAAAGATATTTAGTTATGACACCTGCTAAGTTCCAAATCCTTGGTCAACTCATCAGCAAACCAGATTCACCAAGTCAAAATTTTATGGCAGGACGACTGAAGACCCATCAAAAGAGTATCAGATTTTAAGGTTGAGAAAGTCAAAAGCTCATTGAGTAAATGAAAAAATATTGGAGTGAAATACATCTATTAACAATGTTACATTTGTTAAAAATGCCCTGTCATTGATTTACTAAACTCTCCATAATCAAATCTATTAAATGCAATGGAGCATAACTCTTAAAAATTTAATTTCAATTAAAATCGACAAAAATAGGGTTTTAAGTTTCTTGTATAATGGATCAATATCAGAATGATTTTTAATTTCAGGGGCTCCATCAGAACAACAAACTTACGAATACGCCAAAACTATTTTGTCTCTTATGACACAAGAGAAACATCCTGAAGGAAAGGTTTTAATTATTGGAGGCGGTATCGCCAACTTCACGAACGTTGCTTCCACTTTCAGAGGAATTATAACTGCCCTTCAAGAATTCCAACAGCGTTTAATCGATCACAAAATTTCGATATTCGTACGACGTGCTGGTCCTAACTACCAAGAAGGATTAAGAAGGATGCGCGAAGTAGGGCAAAGTCTAGGTGAGTTTTTGCTTCATTTAGAGTTTTTTTTTAGTTGAGCAGTTGTAAAAATAGTTAGTTTGTAATGATTTTTATCTTTCTTTAAACTGAAGAGCCTACCTCTAATGGCTATTTATACAAAAAGGGTTTTGTAAAATAAAATAACTTTCAAATGTTTTAAAAATAGAATTTGTTGCAAGCTCTACAATATTTTCGGCAATGGTAGTTATTCCTGGCAATTGTAGAGTTCTAGTTTTGAAAACTTATTTCATCTGGTAATAAATATTTTGAAGAACTTCCCCGAAAAGCTGACTAATATTGTCACATATTTAGATAAATAATATACTTATTTTTGCAAAAACAATATTCCATATTGTAATACTTATGACAAGAAAAGAGTGATCTATCCATTCCTGTTACATTCGATATTTAAATTCTTTTTCGATTACGTCTTTAATTTTTTTTTATTATCTACTTATTAAAGGCATTCCGTTATATGTATTCGGCCCCGAAACTCATATGACAACCATCGTTGGTATGGCTCTTGGGAAGAAACCCATAAGTCAAGAAAGTCACACCACTGAATTCGCAACGGCAAATTTCCTATTACCAGGTGGCCAAACTGACGAAAGCAAAAGCCCATTTAGTTCAGTAACCGAAAACCATCATGTGGCACCCAGAAGAGCAGCGGTAAGAAACACTTATCTATTTTTAATATTATTTTTTTCGTCGAAATAACAAATTATTAAACGTAGCAGTATTGAAGTGAATTTGTTACTGATTATGACAGAATTTTCTAAAAAAAAGTTTAGTGTACAACATAAATTTATTACAATTTATGTATTTTCAGAATTTTTATCAATTTACGATTTTTGCTTTTTTTTTCAAGGCGCGACCTTTTCTAATACGGTGGTAACATTTGAACAATTAAACATGTAGTTTTTGATCAAGTAAATCAGTTTTAATTAATATAAAATTACCTTGTTATTTAAGCATAATGATGAGTATGTCGCCATCTACTGACATTTGCTGTTAACTATAACATTTCAACTGACTGGCAGGGTGTGGACTTGTCACACTGAATCTGTAACCCGTCATAATCACTCCCTAAAAGTAAATTATAGACAGTATATCGCAATATATTAATAGTTGATGCTATCTGTAAAAGGCCCTTGTCTTGAAATAGTATAATTAGCATCAAATACCACTAGATGGCGATATACTTCCAAAATTTGATATTAAATCAAGCAGCTTTTACGCAGTAACCTTTTTATCGGTGATTTATGCCTATGACGGGCTGATGAAAAGTTCATTATCACATCTATAGTTTCGATAAATAAATGAACATTCAACTTTATAGTAGCAAATTTACTTCGGATGTACTTTTTTCTTTCTTCTTTAGTTTGCATATTTACATTTCGTTTTTTAAGTAAACTACATAATAACATGTACTAAAGCAACAAATTCGCTTCTATTTATACTTTGCTTGCTTTATTGGTATTCTCCTTTGTTTTGTTATTTTATAATTATGTAAAACGATAGCAATAAATAATGGTATATTACTAATGGAGATTAACAAAAGTCTTCTCCGAAGGTGGTTTGGTTTCTCGTTGAAACATTCGAATGTAAAAATGGATTTCTGTAGTATTATTTTCATGTTACTTTCTTCTCATGTGGTTTTTGGTTTACTTTAGTTTCTTTTATTTTCGTTTTGGTTGCTGTATATGGTGTATTACATATTTATTACCCAAGGTACTTTTTATGTTTCTGTAATCTTCNATATAGTGCTGTCAGCACAGGGTAAAGTAGTATTACGTAGTTAGATTCAGCAATTTCTTATGCTGAAGTGTACGATGTGTTGCATACCTGTTTACAAACAATTCCTTTACATTTAATTTTCAAACAAAGAAAGTGATTAAACCAATTGTTCACAAAAGTGAATTTCAACCACTCAAAGCGATGGTGCTAACAGTTTCGAGCTCACAGTGACCGAAAGGGGGAAGAACTTGTACTATTAATATTTGTTCTATTAAACTTTGAGGGAGTGCTGTGATTTAATATCTTATATAAGTAATTTTTATTCCGCTAAAAGATACATTAATTGTAAAGTGTTTTTTTATTTTTAAATATGCAATAAATTAAAAATATATGTGTGGTGATGATGAATTATTTCTATTGTTTCAGCTTGTAACTGAAAAAGAATGTCTGCCAAAGCAATAAGGGAAGCAACGGGTAAAAATTTGATAAACAAACACTTGGCAGCCGACACTGCCGCTGCTAGATGTAAATTCGCTTCCGTTGATCCAGACACTAATTTTCTTGAGCTCGTTGAACAAAATCCGTGGCTCAAAACAGAGAAGCTAGTCGTAAAACCTGATCAACTCATCAAACGAAGAGGCAAACTTGGTGAGTTAAAAATAATACCGTATTCTTTTTATTATCCGGGATCTCAAGTAAAGACGATCAGCTTTTGGTGCTGCTATTGTTCAGAACTGTCGAACATTAGTTGACTGTGTTAGTGTCGATCACATTAGACATCCTCAGGACTTCCGATTTTGATAGATAAAATTATCTGTTATACTTCATTTACTTTATGTAGCGATGTGCCCCTTCCAATGTCTTGAATGCGCGCTGGCAAAATCGTAGGTAGGGAGAAAGAAGCTCATTATACTCTCGACTCTTGTTCATTAAACATACTTATTCATACAGTACCTGCCAAAAGTTTTGTTCGATCATGAATAGTAGTGCGAGTCGAAAACAAGCGTTAAAACCTTTAATATGTCTTCAAATATAAATAAACATCTCGTTGATATTTTCAGTAGTAAATGGTACCAGTAACAGCACATTTGAGCAATACAATTGTAGTGGATAAAATGGTAAATTTTTCCGTGTAGTACTGTACGGATTATACGCTCCTCACCGGTTAAGAGTTTGGCCGAGAGTTGTCTCTTTTCTTTTCTGGCCTAGTGCTGTTCTTTTCTCCTTTGCGCCGGTCAAACTAAAGGTAATATCGCTACATAAAGTAAACGAAGTATAACTCAGAATTCTGAACTTCATCATCAACAGTACCTGCGGAAGTAAGGATACTGAAAAGGAATAGACTGCTACTTACACATTTTTCCTACACTTGTGACATATTTTGAGTACAGTTGAATCCGCTTCTAAAGGAAATGACAAACGCGTCATACAAAGCGTAGTCTTACAAAATAAACAACTTTATATTTTGCTTAGTTATTTAGTTTAATAGAGAGAAAAGCTACAAATTGTATATATTTATTAACCGAAAAATAAAAAGAACGATGAATTGTAATATTAATATACATAAGAAGGGTCAGAAAAATGAGCGAAAATGTTATTATTAATCATTTGGGTCACTATAACCGGATATGATTTCCTGAGAATCAGTCATAGTAAACGATATGTCGTTTTAAACGGAGTCCATTATATCCAAATTTTCCTATAGAGAATTTAATATGAAAACCAAACTTAACACTGCAATTACTTCATTTTAAGCGGTTGGTCAATATAGGCGGAGTCATAATAAAAAACGAATTCCCCTGTATTTAGTTGTTTATACCTATGAAAGATAATGAGCTTAAACCGTATAGTTTTCGCTACTTCACCATTGGCGGATTCGATTCCACGCAATTAATGTTTCATTTTTGGGGATAAGTGATACTCTCTGAGTGTCAAGTTTGGGTTGTAAAAATATGGTTCAATTTTGTGAGCAGCAGCCAACGCAACATGACTTTTGTGAGCAGGCGTATTCTGTTTTACTGCCTTTAATCGTTCCAGTAGGTTAGTGTAGTAATTTCTGGTTATTGAAGCACTTTTCACTATGTAATCAATCATCAATGTTGTAGCTGAGTAGGACGCTCTGAACTTTTTCGAGGGTGATGTTTTCTTTTCATGCCATTGCACTAATTGCTTCTTGGATACAGACTCATAATGATCAACCCAAGTTGGATCACCGGTGACCTTAAAGTTTCGTTTTTTATATTATTGCAGAGATTCAAAAACTCACACGCGCATACAGAAGCGCATCTGATTTGGTGGACATACCAAGATGATTATTGTGACGATTTGTTCAGTGGTCAGTGGGTTCTCCAGGGCAGGGTTTTCTGTCTTGCTTGAATATAATTGTATTATGCATAGTAAAAATTTTTCTTGCTTGATGAGGAGTATTGCAATAGCACCGCATTTGTTATTCCACACTCTACTTTCCTCGGTGGTTTTGCGTGACATCTTGAAGTTTAGTGATCCAATTTTAATAAAACGTTAGATGTGCTACATTGCATTTCGTTTACTATGATTCAGACATGCGCATTTTCAAAAATCAGTTCTACGCATGTCTTTATCGTGCACGATTGATTTTGCGCACACGTCCTTTAATATGCATAAGCCAGTAAGGAGTTGCTTAAACGTAAGACATGTACCTACAGACCCCTCTTGTCGCTATCCCCACTATTTCGCTAATTTAGCGTATCATCTTCATACTTTATGAAAAATCAAAATGACTATTGCTTAATGTCTCAGATTATTAATACAACGTTGTTGTCTTCACAAATAATCTTATAACTGATCTTTTACTGCTTAAGCAACGAATATAAAACATACAGCGTAAGTAAAATATAAATAGGTTGACTAGGGGTTAGACTGTTTTGTATCAGGTATTTAGTATGATAGTACTACAAAGGTGAAGACATAAATTTGATGTAATAAAAGGTATTTTACATTTGATGTAATGTGAGTCTCTAACTGAAGATGACGTCTTTATATTTTTATATCTATTTCTGAATTTTTGCTTCGTTTAGTTCAATTCCACAATAGTCGATTTGATTTTCTTGTATTTTAAATGTAAATTCTAATGTTTCGGTAGGTATCATAAAACTGTAAATGGTGGTGGTATATTAAGTAGAAACTAGTTTTGATTTTAACTAGTTTTTGCTTTCGCAGTTATTTGTAAAATATGGCTACAATATCCACATAGTGTGTGTTCATAAATAAGCTTATCAAGTGATATAAAAAATTTATGAAATATGTCAAATCATTGTTGATAACCAGATAATGTATTTACAAAAAAAGTATTATAAGTTGTAATGAGTTACACATACGTACACTTGCCAATGATATGAGAAGAATTTGAACAATTGGAAAAGGCTAACATGCCACGGCGGTTATACCATCTACCTTTCAATTTATCATCAATTACACTTTAAAAAGTGCATCGAGAGTAATTTATTAGTTCTCATCAGCACACCTTTTCTGAATGTAAACGATATGTTTAAAGATAAAATGGCAGTTATGAGAACATCCACAGTGTACGAAACAGTAAAAAAATCAGAAATCATAGGGTGCAGACGTACTTTCCATGTATTTAATACCATAAGAACCATCGATTATATGCGATCGTGATTAGTACAATTGTATCAATTTTAAACGTTCCCACTCAAGACTCGAAGACTCTTAGTACAAAACGCCATCTTTAGAAATTTGCAGGTAACTGTAGATTCATTAATGTTAGGTAAAGATGATCACCCAAAACTGAACGGATGGCGGAACTAAAAGGACCTTGACAAACATTAATCAAACCACTTTTATTGAACCGACTATGACGTACTAATCTGATTCACAATTGACCGTTTTTGGAAGAATGCTGACCAAGAAGTAATTGTTGAGTACCAACATTTGTTTTTCCAAATGCTCGCACAGATTTTTTATTCGGGATGTGCATATGTATTACATGAATTTTAATGTTATTAAATTACGAAATTGAGTTTACACCATCTGTAGTGGTGTATAAGCAGTTACATTTATTATCGACACTTCCTAAGCAATTTCTTTTTAGACTTGGATGCAATTGCGCATGCGTATCGTTTACCATGTTTTTAAACTTGTAGGTCTCATAGCTGTAAATAAAACTTTTGACGAAGTAAAAAAATGGATATCGGAGCGAATGAACAAAGATCAAAAGATCGGCCAGGCAGTTGGAAAACTTCGAAACTTCATTATCGAGCCGTTCGTTCCACACAAGCAGAACGAAGAAGCATATGTCTGCATATATTCTCATAGGCATGCTGACACAATTTTATTTTACCACGAAGGTGGTGTCGACATTGGAGATGTTGATTCTAAGGTAAAATCACGTAAATATGAATGCAATTAATGAATATTTCCAAAGTGAAAGGTTTTTTTCCTTTTTTTGTAAATATATTCACGCCATTCAACAAATTTTAAACAATATCATTCCGGCTACCCTAATGTTGTGTTCATATGTTTTGTTTTAAATTATGTCGTTACATTGTTGTAGTGACCGCTTTATTTCTGGTATTACTTTTACAGTTGCTTCTAAATTATAGGCTGTCAAACTGGATATCCCTGTTGGCGAATCAACAGATGCAGCAACTATAGAAAAGGCACTGTTAGGGCAAGTGGCGCCGAAAAAACGAGCCACCATTGCTAAATTCATTAATGCACTTTACAAACTTTACGTCGATTTATATTTCACTTACCTCGAAATTAATCCCTTGGTAGTCACGGATAGCGAAATCTACGTATTAGATTTGGCTGCAAAGTTGGATTCTACAGCAGATTTCTTGTGCAAACCCCTCTGGGGCGAAATCGATTACCCACCACCATTCGGACGGGATGCTTATCCAGGTTAGAAGCAGTTGATTCCATTAATGAAACCTGCCGATTACTTACACTTTATATTTACAGAGGAAGCTTACATATCCGATTTGGACTCAAAATCTGGAGCTAGTTTAAAACTTACCATCTTGAATAAAAAGGGTCGCATTTGGACTATGGTAGCAGGAGGCGGAGCTTCTGTCATCTACAGCGACACGATATGTGATTATGGTGGTGCTAGCGAGTTGGCTAATTATGGTGAATATTCAGGTAAGTCATTCATTCAACGATTTTATCTCACATTTATAGAGGGTTAATGAACCAATGACAAGGTGTTTTTAATCTGTATTAACTCAATAGTGCATTATTTTTGGTCAAGTCTTGCCAAACTATCAATCGAAAACAAAACAAAAGATTAGATCTGGTTTTATTTAAATTAAATCTATGGCTAAGCTGGGAATGGATTCCTGTTTGTTTGATCTGCCCATCGTTTTTAGATCTGGGTTATAGTGAAATTATGATAATCGCGTTAATAAAGAAACGTGGAATAAAGATATTTAGTTATGACACCTGCTAAGTTCCAAATCCTTGGTCAACTCATCAGCAAACCAGATTCACCAAGTCAAAATTTTATGGCAGGACGACTGAAGACCCATCAAAAGAGTATCAGATTTTAAGGTTGAGAAAGTCAAAAGCTCATTGAGTAAATGAAAAAATATTGGAGTGAAATACATCTATTAACAATGTTACATTTGTTAAAAATGCCCTGTCATTGATTTACTAAACTCTCCATAATCAAATCTATTAAATGCAATGGAGCATAACTCTTAAAAATTTAATTTCAATTAAAATCGACAAAAATAGGGTTTTAAGTTTCTTGTATAATGGATCAATATCAGAATGATTTTTAATTTCAGGGGCTCCATCAGAACAACAAACTTACGAATACGCCAAAACTATTTTGTCTCTTATGACACAAGAGAAACATCCTGAAGGAAAGGTTTTAATTATTGGAGGCGGTATCGCCAACTTCACGAACGTTGCTTCCACTTTCAGAGGAATTATAACTGCCCTTCAAGAATTCCAACAGCGTTTAATCGATCACAAAATTTCGATATTCGTACGACGTGCTGGTCCTAACTACCAAGAAGGATTAAGAAGGATGCGCGAAGTAGGGCAAAGTCTAGGTGAGTTTTTGCTTCATTTAGAGTTTTTTTTTAGTTGAGCAGTTGTAAAAATAGTTAGTTTGTAATGATTTTTATCTTTCTTTAAACTGAAGAGCCTACCTCTAATGGCTATTTATACAAAAAGGGTTTTGTAAAATAAAATAACTTTCAAATGTTTTAAAAATAGAATTTGTTGCAAGCTCTACAATATTTTCGGCAATGGTAGTTATTCCTGGCAATTGTAGAGTTCTAGTTTTGAAAACTTATTTCATCTGGTAATAAATATTTTGAAGAACTTCCCCGAAAAGCTGACTAATATTGTCACATATTTAGATAAATAATATACTTATTTTTGCAAAAACAATATTCCATATTGTAATACTTATGACAAGAAAAGAGTGATCTATCCATTCCTGTTACATTCGATATTTAAATTCTTTTTCGATTACGTCTTTAATTTTTTTTTATTATCTACTTATTAAAGGCATTCCGTTATATGTATTCGGCCCCGAAACTCATATGACAACCATCGTTGGTATGGCTCTTGGGAAGAAACCCATAAGTCAAGAAAGTCACACCACTGAATTCGCAACGGCAAATTTCCTATTACCAGGTGGCCAAACTGACGAAAGCAAAAGCCCATTTAGTTCAGTAACCGAAAACCATCATGTGGCACCCAGAAGAGCAGCGGTAAGAAACACTTATCTATTTTTAATATTATTTTTTTCGTCGAAATAACAAATTATTAAACGTAGCAGTATTGAAGTGAATTTGTTACTGATTATGACAGAATTTTCTAAAAAAAAGTTTAGTGTACAACATAAATTTATTACAATTTATGTATTTTCAGAATTTTTATCAATTTACGATTTTTGCTTTTTTTTTCAAGGCGCGACCTTTTCTAATACGGTGGTAACATTTGAACAATTAAACATGTAGTTTTTGATCAAGTAAATCAGTTTTAATTAATATAAAATTACCTTGTTATTTAAGCATAATGATGAGTATGTCGCCATCTACTGACATTTGCTGTTAACTATAACATTTCAACTGACTGGCAGGGTGTGGACTTGTCACACTGAATCTGTAACCCGTCATAATCACTCCCTAAAAGTAAATTATAGACAGTATATCGCAATATATTAATAGTTGATGCTATCTGTAAAAGGCCCTTGTCTTGAAATAGTATAATTAGCATCAAATACCACTAGATGGCGATATACTTCCAAAATTTGATATTAAATCAAGCAGCTTTTACGCAGTAACCTTTTTATCGGTGATTTATGCCTATGACGGGCTGATGAAAAGTTCATTATCACATCTATAGTTTCGATAAATAAATGAACATTCAACTTTATAGTAGCAAATTTACTTCGGATGTACTTTTTTCTTTCTTCTTTAGTTTGCATATTTACATTTCGTTTTTTAAGTAAACTACATAATAACATGTACTAAAGCAACAAATTCGCTTCTATTTATACTTTGCTTGCTTTATTGGTATTCTCCTTTGTTTTGTTATTTTATAATTATGTAAAACGATAGCAATAAATAATGGTATATTACTAATGGAGATTAACAAAAGTCTTCTCCGAAGGTGGTTTGGTTTCTCGTTGAAACATTCGAATGTAAAAATGGATTTCTGTAGTATTATTTTCATGTTACTTTCTTCTCATGTGGTTTTTGGTTTACTTTAGTTTCTTTTATTTTCGTTTTGGTTGCTGTATATGGTGTATTACATATTTATTACCCAAGGTACTTTTTATGTTTCTGTAATCTTCAGTTTCTGTTATATACAGTTTTCCATAATTTTCATAATTCACTTCTAACCTTTTATTTAATGATACACCTTTAATTCTCTTGCCAATTGTATGATATGTTACTGCATGGTTTTAAAATATCGAATTCAAATATGCCTGCGAATGAAACCTTAAATTTTTATTTTCGTTTTCTAAATATTTAAGGATGTTTTGGATGTGCATCCAGGCATAAAAATACTAAAAATCGTTGACCAAGTAGAATCTACATATTTTTTTTTTCTCAATTTTTTTTTAAATTACTCTTTTATCTTACCACGTAAAATACAGTCGACTGTGAACTAAGAGGAGTAGGTATAGGAGTAATAACTTAACCCCGATAGAATTAGTCTATCGTAAAAACAATAATCACCAACAAAGAATGGAAAACGCTTTCGTATGTTGCGCGAAGAGCGACCGCGCATCAACTCCTTTATTTTCAGTTATTAAACAAAACGTAAACAAAATCTTGCCTACATGAGAAATCGGATGCGCACTGCCGTACTACGCAGCGTACGAATGAGCACAATTTGGTGACACTTTTATGTTTAGAATTTTTAAAAGGAAACTGATTTCTAAAGCTTTGAGGGGTACTTGAAAAGAAAAATAGAGTTCGGAGTTTACCAGAATGTAAAATACAAAAAAAATCATCGTGAATGTCGAAATGATTAAGCAAAAGGAAGCTGTACACTATGTACGATAAAATTCATCTACTTTTGCAAGTTAAACTAGAATGAAGAGACTCGGTAAGTTACAGATATTTGTGAAGCAAAAACTTTTTGTAGTGAAATTTTTTATAGTTTGTAAATAGGTCTTATCCTTTGTTATAATTTATTATTAAATTACTTATCTTCATTTTGTTTCTATGCAATATATTAGAATTAATTTAATAAATTTTCATCCATGCAGTTTTTCCTCCAAAACATCTTGAATTAAGTATGTATCATTCTTTATACGACTATCTTTCAGTATTAAGCAAATAATAATAGTGTATGTTTCTTTCAATTCTGTCCTTATTTCTGCTAGATGTATGCCTTTTTGTGCCATATCTCTTCCTTCTTTGTCTATACAACTAATTTTCACTCCTGTTTTCGTCCTAACGGAAATGTGTTGATTTTTTGTAAACTTTTTGCACATCTCTGATCTTATTGCTCAGTTTGATGCCATGTTTTCTTGTTGATGAGTTTTGCTACGTCATTCTTTAGGAAGCCGTACCGAACACCATAGATATTAGTCTTCCAGACCATATTGAACAGGTAAATGACTCCATTTACAACTGGTTTTATTTTTTTATTACCTTTTTTCGCTTCTTAGAACACTTGTTTTATTCTTTGTTTATTTTGTGCCTTATTTTGTTTTATACGTGTGTCAACATGATTTTAATTTTTCCAATTTTTGTTTGTGTTCAAAGAAAGAATAGATACTCATATAAATTAATAAGAATTTAAAAATAAAGCATTATGAGGTAAATATTGTATAAAAACGATAATTAGGATAAATAAATTTCAACAACCGTATAAAATAATTCTACTTAAAATATATATATAGGTACCGGTTTTTTGTTTATTTTCGATCAACAGTTTTTCTTTGAACAAATAATTACAAACTAATGCATGTTCGTTTGCACTAAAATGTGAAGAAAAATAAATGCCACATACATTGATTTAAAAACGTATGTTACATTATTCGTGATTTCTATAATCGATCCTTTTGTGTGGCATTTTTTTTTTCGTTTAATACCGAGCTTAAGTCATAAATTGTTCGGTATTTTTGCTGAATGTGAAGTTCTTTTAAGGGCGACACTGTGGATTCAGCTACGCCCTTATTCACCAATCAGACAAAGGCAATTGTTTGGGGTATGCAGACTAGAGCTGTGCAGGGCATGTTAGATTTCGACTTTGTCTGTCGAAGGGCGGAACCTAGCGTTGTTGCCATGATCTATCCCTTTACTGGAGATCATAAGCAAAAATTCTACTGGGGACACAAAGAAATTTTAATACCTGGTAAGATATATTTCAAATATTTTTCATACTATTAAAAGTTTTGTTGGTGATTGATCAAAACAGAAATTTATAAGTACGGTCATAAAACAAACGGACGGACAATAATGTCTGACTATAAATATTTACTTTACCCTTCCCTAAAAATTGTCGAAGATAGGATAGGAGCACCCTCAGAAATAAGTAGCATATCTTTTGAAGATTTAGTTGTGCGTTTTTTGTTAAAGTATACAAAAAGATGGAAGATGCCATGCGTAAGCACCCCGATGCCGATGTCATGGTTAACTTCGCCTCTCTTCGATCAGCTTATCAGAGTACCGTCGAAGCTATGGACTTCCCTCAAATAAGAACCATAGCAATCATTGCTGAGGGAATTCCCGAAAATATGACACGAAAACTTATTAAACTGGCCAGTGAGAAGAGCATCGTTATTATCGGTCCAGCTACAGTGGGTGGTATTAAACCTGGATGTTTTAAAATTGGCAACACTGGAGGTTAAAGTCAAACAATTCTGTTATTATTTATATTTTTCATTTAAATGTATATTTTAATAGGAATGATGGACAACATTTTGCACTCTAAATTGTACAGACCTGGCAGTGTAGCGTATGTGTCACGATCTGGTGGTATGTCAAACGAATTAAATAATATCGTATCAAAGGCAACAGATGGCGTTTATGAAGGTGTAGCGATAGGAGGTGATAGATACCCTGGGACAACATTTATGGATCATATCATGAGGTATGTTTATTGTTTAACATATTTCAGTTAAATAAGTTGTTTATATTTAATTTTTTTTTCGTTAGATATCAAAGCGATGATAACGTTAAAATGATTGTTCTTTTGGGAGAAGTAGGAGGTGTTGAAGAGTATGAAGTCTGTCAAGCATTACAAAACAAATCTATTACGAAACCCTTAGTAGCATGGTGTATTGGCACCTGCGCAGGGATGTTCACATCTGAAGTACAGTTTGGTCACGCGGGTTCATGTGCACAATCTAACAAGTAAGTAATTAACCTATTTTCTAAATTAGTATAAAAAACCTTCAATGGAATCAACTATCGTTTGCTATAATTTATTTGAAGTTTTAGTTCTCTTCGTATTAAGTAAACAAAATATTTCTTAATTACAGAGAGACTGCCACTGCTAAAAACGAAGCACTCAAAGCCGCAGGGGCGTACGTTCCTGAAAGTTTTGATTCTTTAGGCGATATCATTAACAGCGTTTATCAAGGATTATTAAAGAAAGGTATTATCAAACCGAAACCAGAAGTACCACCTCCCACTGTACCCATGGACTACAATTGGGCCCGTGAACTTGGACTTATTAGGAAACCTGCTAGTTTTATGACGTCAATTTGTGACGAAAGAGGACAAGAGCTTTTGTATGCTGGTAAGTAAAATAATTCATTTTTATTTAAATATTTCACGTTATTAATTTTTAAAACAAGGAATAAAATTATTTACACCAACTTTTATACTTATTACACCTTTTTTAACAGGCATCCCAATATCTGACGTACTTAATCGCAATATCGGGATTGGAGGTGTCATTTCGCTTTTGTGGTTCCAACGTTCGCTACCTCATTATGTGTGTAAGTTTTTCGAAATGTGTCTCATGGTAACCGCAGATCATGGACCGGCTGTATCAGGAGCCCATAACACGATAGTATGCGCGCGAGCTGGTAAAGATCTCGTATCTAGCGTTGTGTCCGGTCTTTTAACTATTGGAGATCGGTTCGGAGGTGCTTTAGATGGGGCTGCCAAACAATTCAGCGAAGCATACGATACAGGTAAATCTCCTATATAAATAAAGTTATAGTTGGCTAGGGCAGGCATGCCCAAAATATTATACAGTTTTGGAATATTTACACTACACTTAGTCTTTATCAACATTGACAATGAGAAGAAGGGCAAGTGAGACGGTGCACTTGAGCGGATGCAAATGAACTTCTAAAACGTGGATTACCTTTTGGGGGTTATCAGTCATTAGATCATTTAGACATGTTGGGGCAATCTCACAAATAATTCCTCACATCTCTTCTGTCTTCATTTCGTCTATCTTATTTGTCTCTTCTCAACGACTACCTTACCTTTCGCTTTTTTTTGTGGTTCTCCTTAGTCGTGTGTGTGTGTGAGGAGGGGGGGTGGGTGCGGGTGCGTGCGTGCGTGGGCGTGTGTGTGACACGCGTGTAGTTTCTTCTGCTTTTATAAAATATTGAAAGGATGGTATATTGATTGTGTACTAACATTATTTGAAGGGCTCCATCCTGCTGAGTTCGTAAATCAAATGCGTAACAAAGGTCAACTAATAATGGGTATTGGTCACCGAGTCAAGTCGATCAACAATCCTGATCAGAGAGTAAAGATTATCAAAGAGTTCGTCATAGACAATTTCCCCGCATGTCCTCTTCTCAAATACGCCCTCGAAGTAGAAAAACTGACAACTAGCAAGAAACCCAATTTAATCTTGAATGTTGATGGGGTTATAGCTACGTCGTTTGTCGACATGTTAAGGCATTGTGGCTCCTTTACAAGGTAAGAAATTATATTATTTTACATAGAACGTGATTATGCATGAAAAATTTGAAAATTATCATTAATTATGGACGGATGTAAAGTGGACAATACAAAATGAAAACCATTGCACATGACGTATGACGTTATTATAAGAAAGAAAATAATGCCAATGTAGGGAGCAAAAAAATATTTTAATAATTTTTTTGAAACTTATTTAATGCTAGAACTATGTATTCACACATGTGAAGTTTATGTGTTTTGGTTCCCAATCTAAAGGATTGGAAAACTTTGGGCGTGTTGAAAACTCAAAAGCTCGAACTCTAACGCCAAAACACGACAATTTCAGTAACAAAGTTATCTTCTTCATAGACTGAAAAGCTAGACCAAAGATAGGTTTAAACAATATAAATACTAGTTGATGTTATGGTAGACTGAGCATAACAAAAACAAAACAACTAAGCTTAACTAAAAAATTAGGAATCATAGCATTATTTAGTATTTATAATGTTTATTTTATACTTAGTCTTTAGCCCTTCAATCCCTGAAGAAGGTAATTTAGTTACTTAAAGGTACTTCAGACGTGCAGTTGAGGTTTGAACTTTTTTGTGTTTATGGTTCCCATATTTCAAAATGAAAATGAGGTCCACCCATCCTGAAACTTAGTGTATTAATGCCATTATTTATTACATATTACTAATTCGAATTTAAGGATGGCAAGACAGACGAAATTTTGATTAATCTATGTACTTCATTAATATACAATCCATTTGATTTCTCATCTATTAAGGGGCTTACCTGGTGGTGTTTTTTAATTTAGATAAGTAAGAGTACGAATTAAATCTGAGTTAATTTTTAGGGAAGAGGCTCAAGAGTATATTCAAATGGGTGCAATAAATTCTTTGTTCGTTCTTGGTCGTTCGATAGGTTTCATTGGTCACTATATGGACCAAAAGAGGCTGAAACAAGGACTTTACAGACATCCTTGGGACGACATCTCATACGTCATGCCAGAACAGTATAATAATTAAATGAAAGATTAGTCTTTTTCTTCTGTTTACTAAAACCTTTTAAGTGAAAACCTTGAATGTCAGACGAGTAATTTTGTCTTTCTTTAAGTGCATTTATTATTGATTATAAAATACATACATCGGGAATAGCTGATGGGAGGTGATGTTTCAAGCCCTCCACTATATGTCGATCAGAAGTACCTAAAATAAAGTAATTTATTAGATAGGGATAAGAAAGATATTTATTGGTTTTTAGATGAAAATTGACGTTGTTGAATTATTGTTATTTTTTTTATGTACGTGGTCGCCGATTTTCGGCTAATTGTATTTTAACTTTTTAACGCAGTGACTGCACATTTAAATGTTTCATTGTAAAAAGCAAATAAAAAATACATTTAAAGGGGTTTTTAGGAGTTTTGTTTAATTAAAAATTGCTTAACCGCCGCACCGTGAGATTAGCTTACTATGGCACAACGTATTTACCATCTAGAAAGCATTTTAGGGGATTTTCATAAAACACGTACGCAAATAAGGGAGACAGAGGGGTATTGCCCAGTGTGATGAAGCATGACAAGGAGAGGGGGGTCCTAGGAAAATATGTTGGCAGTTTATCAATTTTATTTAATTTTTTTTCTTCACTTGGCAGTTCTTAAAATTTTTGATTACGCTGGAATGTAATTCTCAAGTAGAATGAAGATTCGGACTATAGGGCCGCGGTCTAAGTGAACTATTGCATCCAGACGTTTCGTCAGCTACTGCGGCTGACATCCTCAGTGGTAGTGCTGCGTTGACAGCGACAGTCGCTGTCGAGACTTCGAGATAATCTACGTTCACGTTGTCAACGCAGCACTACCACTGAGGATGTCAGCCGCAGTAGCTGACGAAACGTCTGGACGCAATAATTCACTTAAACGGCGGCCCTATAGCCCGAATCTTCATTCTACTATGTATTCCGGCCGTGAAAGCCTTTGATGATTACAAGTGTGACTTAGCGTGACGAAGGAGGAGGGAGTGGTCTAAGAAGGTGAAATTCTGAGTGAGTGGACCCCTTACTCCCCCCTTACATTTGAAAGGTAAGTTTTTTCTATAATCAGTATTATATGGTTTATTTTGCTTTACATTCTGTCTATGTGTTTTATAATGTTTAGTAAGCTCTTTGCAAACTTTTGGTATGCTATATGTATGATACAGCTTTACAATTCGGTAGATGACTATCTTAAAAAGTTTGTTTTCTCTATTTAATCGTTTACGGTATTGTAAGGTAAACACTACAAACAGCAGGTAAAAGTTTATTCGATCATAGGGAGATTCTATTACATGTATTTCAAATTTCATTATAACGTGTACGACAGACATAGCTTGTACTCCCCTACATTGATCTAACCTAACGATACGATGAACGACGATGCAACCTATAGACCTATATAAACTATCGTTTGTTGCTGTTACTCGGACTGGCACGAAATTACAATACGCTTACACATCCTAATGTACATTCAGTTTATTGATTTGATCACTTGTTTTTACCAATTGAGGCAAAATAAAATTGCTATTCTGTACTAAACAAAATAACCAATACGTCCAATAATCAAAATTTCCTCAAAGGTATAGTATACTTGTAGAACGTAGAACTAAATTGATCCTGTTTGGGCGTAATAAGGCGTGGGACAGAATAATAACTTCGTGATGGATATTTCGTTGAAACTCGGTCGTGAATCGCGATTTTGGATTATACACCGGGCTTTGCAGTGTCTGTCCTTTTAAGAGCTTAAAATATATGTCCGAATGAGTTAGGCTTTTATAGTAGGTAAAACGTAGATGACTCTGTCGTTTTCAAATAGATTAAGAGTAAGTGATGTTTCCCATAACAGTCTGCTATAAGTTATAAAAGAAACTTTGGTCCTCAGTTATCGGCAAACGATTTTTGGTGGTACCAAACTTAATTCTACTGCTTGAATGACTTTACACTTGTATCTTATATGTTTAGATGATTAAGACCAATAATGTTCGATGTAGGATAAAAGGAGTAAAGGAGTTTATCAACAAGTCATCATGGTTGCTAGTAATAAAATAGACAATGGTATAGCTTATAAATTTTTTTAATGGGCTTAAACAGTCAGAATTGCTCTCCTGGCCATAAGAGATTTACCTAATGTGCATTTGGTTTACATTAGTAGCGTTAAAGCACTTAAGTATTTTGATTTACTAATCGTTTACTACCTACCTATACAATGAACACTTTTCTTAAATATTTTTATTTAGTAAGTATGCATACAGTATTGGTCATTTAGATCTTTCAAAATACTTTTCAATCTCCTTAAAACTTTTTCCCAAAGTTTCCGGTAAAAATACACATATAAATATAGTTCCGCATATGTTGACGCTTGCAAAAATGTAAAAGATACATTGTATTTGAACAATCTCCAGCAAAAACGGAAACACTTTAACCAAGACAAACATCGTTAAGTAGGCAAAAGAAACTAACAGTCCTCCCAGTTTTCCCCTTACTTTGACAGGTAATAATTCGCCTATCATTGTCCATGGTATCACTAAGTAACCTAAAGAACTAAAACAGACGTATGCCAAAACGCAATATAACGGTATATTATCGTCTTCTTTCGCTTTAGAAATGTTGTATTTGGCCAACTCTTCTTTAGGAATAACCGCAAGCGACATGTATAGGCCTGCTATGAGACTGGTGAGGCACATCCCCATCCCAGAAACAAACAACAGGGGTCTTCTTCCCACTCTTTTTGAAAACATTGACGAAAGAATGGCCATAACAAATCTTATGACACCTAATAAGACAAGTGCAACATACTCGTCTATTCCTTTCTCGAAATTTCCTCCTATTTCTCTGAACAAGTCCACTGCATAGAATATTATGACGTATGCCCCTGAAAGTTGCTGAATCGTAAACAATAAGATCAGGATGATCAGTGGTTTGTAAACTGATGGTCTTCTATATATAGATGAAAATTCCTGTTTGAATGTAGTTAATGGAGATTCTTCATTAGGCGTCCCTGGTCGATTTTCTGATGTTTGACTCGATTTTTTTGTTGAGGACTCCAATAGCCTTCGAAATTGATATTCAAAAACCTGGGAATTAATATTTATACAGTTAGAATCTTTAGACAACGACAAAAAGCTGCAATACTTTGTTTTGTAATGTTTTCTTTTTTTTTTCATCTGAGGCGTTCTGAAAATTCTTGCAGAACAAAATTTGCTCAAAAATAAACTAATTTTTTATCTAGGAATCTCGAAACAGCTAAATTGAACAGAAACAACCATTAAAGAGGGTTCTGATAATGAATATACAGAAGAACGTTCATAAATATTTTACAAAGTTTAATAATAATTCTTTGCGAATTTATCATGTAAGTCAAAAAACACTAAAATCGAACTGACTACTTTTTATAATATTACAGTTCCTTGCACAAGGACCTAAAATAAGTACTAAAAAAAAATCAAATATACATCGAAAAGCATTTCTTGATGATTTATTTCCATTTTTTGAGTCTGTATTGTTTAATAAATGAAGTGTACAGACGATATCAGTTTATTATTTCCTTTATTTGAAAGAATGGTTACCAATAACAGGGATTAATATCTTAATTTTCGCGTTAACTACTGGGTTGGTTGCGGTTAATGGGGATAAGTTCTTTTTGTCTTAAAATGCAGAAACTCAAAAAAAAAGAAAACAATAAGTTTCTAGAAGATAATTTCCCGTCAATGTTTAAAAGAATTTTTCAGTACTTGTAGCTTGTAAGTAAAGAGTATTACATAAGTCTTGGCTGAGAAAAAAGGGCCAACGCTGAAAAGATATAAAAATAAAAAAGTCTGCAGACAGACCTCTAAAGTGGGGCAGACGCCTTAAGGCTGTTACAATCACCCATAGTGGAGCCCACTCCAAAAGTCTTCTAAAGGCCACGCCCATGCCCCTTATGTTCCTTAAGGAGAGTTCCGCAATTTTTGGTAATCATTTCATAGGAAAAGTGCTTCTAAATCATTTTTCTCTCTATCTCTGAAAAACTCATATTTGGAATCAGCTCCCCCTATCAAAAAATACAGGAAGTAACTTTTCTAGATTTTGCCCAAAATTGGCACCCCCTTTTGGTAACACCTGAATTATAAAAAGTAGTCGATTCTGTTTTAATGTAATATATATTAATTGAATCCATCTTCACCCGACTTAACCACACTTAAGGCGGTTTATATAAACTATTTCGATAACGTAAACGTCATCTCTCAATAATTTTGTAGTATTTATTGCAGCATCAGGTAAAATTTCTTCTGCAAACAATGGAAATTAATGGCACAGGGTTAATTTAAATTGAAAGGTATACATTTCTAAGCAATTTTTTTGAGGAATATTTAAAAGGAGAGGAGATACATTATGCAAAATTAATTATTTCTGCTATTGTTTTCAGTTTTCAACTTAATCTTTAAATAATAAAGTACTCTTAACTTTTTAATTTATGATTTAATTATTTGCTCACTTGATTGTCCGTGTAAATCCACCGTAAAGATTTAGCAGCACTATGCGTTTCATTTCTAAATGTAACTAGCCAATGGGGGCTTTCAGGAATAAACCATAATAGGGCAAATGAAACTAAAGATATTGAACAAAAAATCATTGCCATAATTCTCCATTGAAACCACAATCCTAGAAAGTGTATTGTTTTTAATATTATATAGACCTATTAAAAATGTGTCTGCTTGTAATTTTATTAAAATAAGCATTTCAAACAAGAAGTCAACGATTTTTAAGAAATAATTATCATTATTTTTTACCCTTAACACAGTATATTATGATGAGTGCTTACCTAAAACGCATGTAACTAGTATTCCAAATGTTACAAATACACTATTCATACTTAGTAACATTGGTCTGAAATTTGGATGCGTGATTTCACTCACATATACAAGTGAGACGGTTGATAAACCTGAAACCTACAAAGAATTAACCATTGACGTTTTTCCATAAATATAATACAGGTACTGATTTATTTAATTTTAATGAGTTATTTTAAACATTGAACCCATTATCCAATTTAAATTTTAGAAATGAATCAAATAAACCCTTAGGGAAAAATTAGCTATCTAGATATATGTAGTAGGTAGGTAAATTTTTAATGAATGTGAGAAACGTATTAAACAGGAAAAATAATTTTCAGAGAATCAACTTGTTTAGTAAATGAAATCAAACTGGCAGCTATGTTAATAAATGGCAACCATATTTACCGCCTGTGAAGCCAGCAATGATCCTTGCTACGTAAATATGCCAAACTCTTGTTGCATTGGCGTGTATAAGCCAAGCACTAATGTACGGCAGAGTTGTGGCTAAACACATTTTTTTACGACCAAATTTGTCCATCAACGGTCCTATAAGGAGTGATCCTAATGGTAGAGAAATTGCAACCAGACTTGCTAGAAATTTTTCATAAGTTGTAATTAGTAACTCAAAGATTGTTATAATAACAGTACAATTCAGTATCAATCTATTCTCCTTTCGACAAAGAGAGGAGGAACGCATTGCCTGCTAATTTGCCACTGACGTCACCGTCATGGCTACCGGCAGCCATGCATGTAGCTCTTCACTTGGACATTTATTCCGTACATTAAGATTATTACAAGAGCTATTTAAAACATTAGAAAACGCACTAAATGGATCCAATTATTTTATATACTTTTTTACACAAAGTTTCTTCATTTATTATAAAGCAAAAAACTGTAACAGAAATTATATTTTTGAATGTAGTCTTTCCCTACCGTCGTCTGAAGATGTGAAAATTGTGGGTTGAACCGTGGTCGAAGATTTGTACATAAGGTTTCGCTGTTGGTGTCTTCTGCTCCTTGTTAAAGTGAAACTTTTATTACATCGCCTCGAATTTTTTCGTGCATCTATCGCATGTCGCATTACAGACGGCCGCGGAGTAGGGGTAAAAGTGAAGGGTGCTCGGCAGAGCAGCCAAGGTCAGTATGACAGCGCCCATGGCTCGCATGATCTAACCGTGTAGCATCTGTATTCTCACTCATTCGTGCAAGTGCATGACAATTACATTTATAGACTGTGAAACTCAAGAGAAGATTAAATTATTGATAGAATAACTCAAGTTCAAAATGATTTAATGATTTAAATAAATATTGTTTTCAGATTTTACATGCGTCTATGAATGATTGTATTTATTATGTATTCAGAACTGTCATATGCAGATTGAAATTACAATTTATAGTTGGATATCTTGTCTATTATTGATTTCCCATTATCAATGCCAATTTACAATCATTAAGAGAAGATTAAGAACGCGATTTTAATTTTAATACCTTAAATCGAATAATTTTCCGACAATTTTCAGTTAAATGCCTACAATCCGAAAAGTTTCATTTGCATCGTGGTTTCATAAAACCATACAATTTTTTATATGCCTGTTTGATGTCTTATTTCATTACTTCTTTCCCCTTGGTTACATCTTATTTATTACAGCTAAGTAATCTCTTGGTGGCTGAATATCTCCTAGAGTTAACTCTCACGTGGTGCTTAGCTTGTATTCGTCTTCAAAATTAAAGTTGTTCGGGTTTTTCATTATCTGGAGATATTCCAAGGGAGACCAACAGCTTCTCCAGAAGATTACTTCTGAAGGAGCTGACAGTATGATCAACAAGACGTCAAATGCAAGTCTTCGATCACAGCCCAACCCAAAAAACATCATATCTTCAGAAACTACATCAATTTTGTGATCGATACTATACAGAAAATAGATGATGAGGCTCTTCAGCATACATACCTATCCATGATGCTTCTGATTTTGTTATGGCAATATCCTTTTTATTTTCTTTCAATTGTGGTAAAAGGATTGCACTAAAGGACATATTAATTCCTGCATTGATAACTAAACTATGCGCAATACAGCATGCTATGATCTGTAAATCAAAACAGATTAGTCAGCCCATCAATAAAATAACTACACCCGTTTCATTAATTAATGATGAAACTGAAAATAACAAAAATAAAACGTGGACGACGAACGTGTGTGGAGTTTTTTTACGATAAGGTCCTTCGTCTCGTGCTGGTTTACCTTCTAATGGGTAGGTACCTATTCTAAAATAATGCCAGATGGTATATGTTTAAGCATAAAAATTATAAAAGTACCCGTCTAAAACATGGTATATGTTATATTATTAAACTGGAAACTATCACTTTTAATTTCATGGATATAAGTTTTGCGAAGATCGATTATTCAATTGAAATTCTTTGTATATTAAAAAATACCCAACAAATGCGAAATTGTCTCGTGCCCGATGATGAGGATATCGTGGGTAGAAAAGGTTAGAAATGAAGAGGTATTGGAAAGAATAGAACAGAGGACTCTATGGAAGTCAATAAAAAATAGGCGAGATAGGTTGGTAGGACACCTTCTCAGGCATGAAGATCTAGTCAGAGACATATTAGAGGCAGAAACACATTTATTATTGATTATAAAATACATACATCGGGAATAGCTGATGGGAGGTGATGTTTCAAGCCCTCCACTATATGTCGATCAGAAGTACCTAAAATAAAGTAATTTATTAGATAGGGATAAGAAAGATATTTATTGGTTTTTAGATGAAAATTGACGTTGTTGAATTATTGTTATTTTTTTTATGTACGTGGTCGCCGATTTTCGGCTAATTGTATTTTAACTTTTTAACGCAGTGACTGCACATTTAAATGTTTCATTGTAAAAAGCAAATAAAAAATACATTTAAAGGGGTTTTTAGGAGTTTTGTTTAATTAAAAATTGCTTAACCGCCGCACCGTGAGATTAGCTTACTATGGCACAACGTATTTACCATCTAGAAAGCATTTTAGGGGATTTTCATAAAACACGTACGCAAATAAGGGAGACAGAGGGGTATTGCCCAGTGTGATGAAGCATGACAAGGAGAGGGGGGTCCTAGGAAAATATGTTGGCAGTTTATCAATTTTATTTAATTTTTTTTCTTCACTTGGCAGTTCTTAAAATTTTTGATTACGCTGGAATGTAATTCTCAAGTAGAATGAAGATTCGGGCTATAGGGCCGCGGTTTAAGTGAATTATTGCGTCCAGACGTTTCGTCAGCTACTGCGGCTGACATCCTCAGTGGTAGTGCTGCGTTGACAGCGACAGTCGCTGTCGAGACTTCGAGATAATCTACGTTCACGTTGTCAACGCAGCACTACCACTGAGGATGTCAGCCGCAGTAGCTGACGAAACGTCTGGACGCAATAATTCACTTAAACGGCGGCCCTATAGCCCGAATCTTCATTCTACTATGTATTCCGGCCGTGAAAGCCTTTGATGATTACAAGTGTGACTTAGCGTGACGAAGGAGGAGGGAGTGGTCTAAGAAGGTGAAATTCTGAGTGAGTGGACCCCTTACTCCCCCCTTACATTTGAAAGGTAAGTTTTTTCTATAATCAGTATTATATGGTTTATTTTGCTTTACATTCTGTCTATGTGTTTTATAATGTTTAGTAAGCTCTTTGCAAACTTTTGGTATGCTATATGTATGATACAGCTTTACAATTCGGTAGATGACTATCTTAAAAAGTTTGTTTTCTCTATTTAATCGTTTACGGTATTGTAAGGTAAACACTACAAACAGCAGGTAAAAGTTTATTCGATCATAGGGAGATTCTATTACATGTATTTCAAATTTCATTATAACGTGTACGACAGACATAGCTTGTACTCCCCTACATTGATCTAACCTAACGATACGATGAACGACGATGCAACCTATAGACCTATATAAACTATCGTTTGTTGCTGTTACTCGGACTGGCACGAAATTACAATACGCTTACACATCCTAATGTACATTCAGTTTATTGATTTGATCACTTGTTTTTACCAATTGAGGCAAAATAAAATTGCTATTCTGTACTAAACAAAATAACCAATACGTCCAATAATCAAAATTTCCTCAAAGGTATAGTATACTTGTAGAACGTAGAACTAAATTGATCCTGTTTGGGCGTAATAAGGCGTGGGACAGAATAATAACTTCGTGATGGATATTTCGTTGAAACTCGGTCGTGAATCGCGATTTTGGATTATACACCGGGCTTTGCAGTGTCTGTCCTTTTAAGAGCTTAAAATATATGTCCGAATGAGTTAGGCTTTTATAGTAGGTAAAACGTAGATGACTCTGTCGTTTTCAAATAGATTAAGAGTAAGTGATGTTTCCCATAACAGTCTGCTATAAGTTATAAAAGAAACTTTGGTCCTCAGTTATCGGCAAACGATTTTTGGTGGTACCAAACTTAATTCTACTGCTTGAATGACTTTACACTTGTATCTTATATGTTTAGATGATTAAGACCAATAATGTTCGATGTAGGATAAAAGGAGTAAAGGAGTTTATCAACAAGTCATCATGGTTGCTAGTAATAAAATAGACAATGGTATAGCTTATAAATTTTTTTAATGGGCTTAAACAGTCAGAATTGCTCTCCTGGCCATAAGAGATTTACCTAATGTGCATTTGGTTTACATTAGTAGCGTTAAAGCACTTAAGTATTTTGATTTACTAATCGTTTACTACCTACCTATACAATGAACACTTTTCTTAAATATTTTTATTTAGTAAGTATGCATACAGTATTGGTCATTTAGATCTTTCAAAATACTTTTCAATCTCCTTAAAACTTTTTCCCAAAGTTTCCGGTAAAAATACACATATAAATATAGTTCCGCATATGTTGACGCTTGCAAAAATGTAAAAGATACATTGTATTTGAACAATCTCCAGCAAAAACGGAAACACTTTAACCAAGACAAACATCGTTAAGTAGGCAAAAGAAACTAACAGTCCTCCCAGTTTTCCCCTTACTTTGACAGGTAATAATTCGCCTATCATTGTCCATGGTATCACTAAGTAACCTAAAGAACTAAAACAGACGTATGCCAAAACGCAATATAACGGTATATTATCGTCTTCTTTCGCTTTAGAAATGTTGTATTTGGCCAACTCTTCTTTAGGAATAACCGCAAGCGACATGTATAGGCCTGCTATGAGACTGGTGAGGCACATCCCCATCCCAGAAACAAACAACAGGGGTCTTCTTCCCACTCTTTTTGAAAACATTGACGAAAGAATGGCCATAACAAATCTTATGACACCTAATAAGACAAGTGCAACATACTCGTCTATTCCTTTCTCGAAATTTCCTCCTATTTCTCTGAACAAGTCCACTGCATAGAATATTATGACGTATGCCCCTGAAAGTTGCTGAATCGTAAACAATAAGATCAGGATGATCAGTGGTTTGTAAACTGATGGTCTTCTATATATAGATGAAAATTCCTGTTTGAATGTAGTTAATGGAGATTCTTCATTAGGCGTCCCTGGTCGATTTTCTGATGTTTGACTCGATTTTTTTGTTGAGGACTCCAATAGCCTTCGAAATTGATATTCAAAAACCTGGGAATTAATATTTATACAGTTAGAATCTTTAGACAACGACAAAAAGCTGCAATACTTTGTTTTGTAATGTTTTCTTTTTTTTTTCATCTGAGGCGTTCTGAAAATTCTTGCAGAACAAAATTTGCTCAAAAATAAACTAATTTTTTATCTAGGAATCTCGAAACAGCTAAATTGAACAGAAACAACCATTAAAGAGGGTTCTGATAATGAATATACAGAAGAACGTTCATAAATATTTTACAAAGTTTAATAATAATTCTTTGCGAATTTATCATGTAAGTCAAAAAACACTAAAATCGAACTGACTACTTTTTATAATATTACAGTTCCTTGCACAAGGACCTAAAATAAGTACTAAAAAAAAATCAAATATACATCGAAAAGCATTTCTTGATGATTTATTTCCATTTTTTGAGTCTGTATTGTTTAATAAATGAAGTGTACAGACGATATCAGTTTATTATTTCCTTTATTTGAAAGAATGGTTACCAATAACAGGGATTAATATCTTAATTTTCGCGTTAACTACTGGGTTGGTTGCGGTTAATGGGGATAAGTTCTTTTTGTCTTAAAATGCAGAAACTCAAAAAAAAAGAAAACAATAAGTTTCTAGAAGATAATTTCCCGTCAATGTTTAAAAGAATTTTTCAGTACTTGTAGCTTGTAAGTAAAGAGTATTACATAAGTCTTGGCTGAGAAAAAAGGGCCAACGCTGAAAAGATATAAAAATAAAAAAGTCTGCAGACAGACCTCTAAAGTGGGGCAGACGCCTTAAGGCTGTTACAATCACCCATAGTGGAGCCCACTCCAAAAGTCTTCTAAAGGCCACGCCCATGCCCCTTATGTTCCTTAAGGAGAGTTCCGCAATTTTTGGTAATCATTTCATAGGAAAAGTGCTTCTAAATCATTTTTCTCTCTATCTCTGAAAAACTCATATTTGGAATCAGCTCCCCCTATCAAAAAATACAGGAAGTAACTTTTCTAGATTTTGCCCAAAATTGGCACCCCCTTTTGGTAACACCTGAATTATAAAAAGTAGTCGATTCTGTTTTAATGTAATATATATTAATTGAATCCATCTTCACCCGACTTAACCACACTTAAGGCGGTTTATATAAACTATTTCGATAACGTAAACGTCATCTCTCAATAATTTTGTAGTATTTATTGCAGCATCAGGTAAAATTTCTTCTGCAAACAATGGAAATTAATGGCACAGGGTTAATTTAAATTGAAAGGTATACATTTCTAAGCAATTTTTTTGAGGAATATTTAAAAGGAGAGGAGATACATTATGCAAAATTAATTATTTCTGCTATTGTTTTCAGTTTTCAACTTAATCTTTAAATAATAAAGTACTCTTAACTTTTTAATTTATGATTTAATTATTTGCTCACTTGATTGTCCGTGTAAATCCACCGTAAAGATTTAGCAGCACTATGCGTTTCATTTCTAAATGTAACTAGCCAATGGGGGCTTTCAGGAATAAACCATAATAGGGCAAATGAAACTAAAGATATTGAACAAAAAATCATTGCCATAATTCTCCATTGAAACCACAATCCTAGAAAGTGTATTGTTTTTAATATTATATAGACCTATTAAAAATGTGTCTGCTTGTAATTTTATTAAAATAAGCATTTCAAACAAGAAGTCAACGATTTTTAAGAAATAATTATCATTATTTTTTACCCTTAACACAGTATATTATGATGAGTGCTTACCTAAAACGCATGTAACTAGTATTCCAAATGTTACAAATACACTATTCATACTTAGTAACATTGGTCTGAAATTTGGATGC